TTCACTCAGAGGTCAAGGAATAGACTTTAGGATAGCCGAAGACACTACACTACCCATAATCCCCAGCTATCGTTTGGGACTACAGTCCCGTTGACAAACCCTGTGATTAATCTTCAAACTCTGGGATTGGATGTTGGAGTGGCAGTGCGCCAAGGTTACGCTGAGCGTCAAAGCTCTTTGAAATGGAACGAAACCACGGCAGACTATTCAAAACTGGACTTGAACGCCCCCCCCCAGAACTACACATGCTGGCTCTTGTGTTTCGCAACATGTTCTCTATGGCACGTCTCTACTGGGAATTGTAGTTTTAAAAGACGTTTTCCCCAAAATTAGAAGTTGACAGTATTAAACTGTGTACAGCCCTAGAGGTTTAGGCGATAGGAAACAAATTGGTGTGTACACATTTAAAACATGTAATTACTAAATGGGTGAAAATCGCTTGTATCCATAACGGGCAGCATTAATATATACTCACATGACAGCTCATTGTTACTTTGTAATTCTACTCCACTACAATTCAGAGGTTAACCTGGTATTTTTACTCCACTACATTTATTTGAGTTACTTTGCAGATTCTGATTAATGATGTGAAATATAAACAACCCTTAAATCAGACTTTAGTTACACCTGAGTAAAATTCAGGGAAAGGTGATTGTCAAGTGGCAACAATCAGGAGAGATATTTGATAGTTGGTGCTTGAGAAGACTAAACATGTATCTGCAGATCTCTATAAAGTATATTCATTCATCGTTATTCTGTACTAATAGTTCATTAAAAACTGTATATAATTGCTATTTTGCACATCCCTTTCAAGATTTCAAGATGTTCTAAGGTTTATTGACATATCATATACACAACTACGGTGTAGTTATGCAATGAATGAAAAACGTGGGTCACAGGTTCCTCAACAGTGCATTACAAGACATCTATCAATATGTGTGTACCTCCACCATTAAACTGTCAAATTCTGCACATTTCTTATTCTATCTACATACATAAGAGTATAATTAATGTGTATAATATCAGTTAAAAGAAGTGCTTCAACATAGTTAACATTGCAGGAAAGCAATATATTAGACGTTAAGTACTTTGTCAGGCTTAATATTTATCTGTATATAGATACCCCCAAAGCTTTTTTGTTATTTGAAAGAAGACCTTAACCTAAAGTATTCTTTAATGTGTTAATAAAGGTTAATTAGTTTGTCTGTTTTGCACATCCTCCTATTAATATCTTTGTACATCCGGCACTAAACTGTTTTATTGTAGAGATCACTTACAGTATCTTCTTGATTTTTTATATTCTATATTTCTATCATTGACCTTCTACTTTCCCCCTATGAAAGTATGTACTCTTAATATTTTTTCATCAAATAACATTATTCAACAAAAATAACATTATTCAACAAAAATAATTCAATAACGTGCTTTAACCGCTAGGCGGTGCACACAAGGTACACACAGCATACTAATAATAACTTTGTATTATTAGTGTAGGACACTCATGTATGTATAACATCTGAAGATGTGTAGATTTATTCATGTTTTTACATAATTGTACAGGATATTGCTATATTATTTCACATGTTTTACTTCTACACATTAATATCTGATTTGTAAAACATCACAGACAGAAAGGTATATCCGTCATTTAATGGTAAGCTATTGCAATTGTGATTCAATAGATGTGTCTCCCATCACCCAAATCCCCAGACTATTCTCTCAACTCAGTATTTACATTCTTATATTCAAAGAATATCTTTAAAAACTACAAGTCCTTTTCTATCAGCTGTGCACCGTTATGGTGTAAATATAACCTATAAATGAATTAGATCAAATATAAAAGTCAGCCGAATTACTATTGATACTGCAAGGATACGTATTTTGTGAAAAGAAATGTAAGATGTTGTTTAATTGCTGATATATTTATGATCCACGTCACGTACAGTTTTGGCAGCAGTTCTTCAAGTTTGTCCAGAAGTCTTCTCTACGGCAGATGTGCAATATTTAATGTAGCCGAACCGTGTATTACAATGCCGTTATGTGATGACTTCCAAAGAGAAAAGCAAGAACACTCGGAATAAAGTTTTTTTTAAATTTTTTTAATGTTTTCGGATTTCACATCGCATGAACACCATATCCCAACGTGCATTGCGGCTAAAACATCCAGTCAGCGAGCTGAGGATCTTTCCTCGGTCTGTGTCCGGTATTGTTCCTGTAATGAGAGTTCAAATTTATGCTACATTGAAGGGTGGAATTCACTACACATCTCAGAAACATAATTTGCTTCAGATATAACTCATAGCAATATTGTAACCATTAAGAAAAGCCAACTGCATTAAAAACCCAGTTAACAAACACTAGGTAAAGTATTTGTCCTTCAGTAATGAAGATGTAATTCCAATGTAGACACACCTGGGATCGCTGTTCAGTCTGTTACGCTGAGCCATGCATTGTCTGGAACGTAAAAGGGACGAAGAAAAGAAAGTGAAGTGACGTACTTCCGATTCAACATGAAAACATTCCCAGTTAAACGGTTATAGAGGCTTCTCAATACTCAAATTTCCCCTCCTCGACTCCTCGGTCCTCGGTCCTCCGGTAGTGACCCGGAAATGAATTTCAGCGCGCCATTTTGAAGGATGTCTCATTTCTCTAAATGCACACAGAGGACCGAGGATCGAGCGTCGAGGAGGCTCTCTGGAGGAGCTATAACCGAGGATACACTGATGGTTCCTCCACGGCTCCTCCACGGATGCATTTCCGGGAACGGTGGAGGCGTGACGCACGGCCGGACTTATCTCAGCCAATGACAGCTATGCATGCATCCCCTGGATATTATTTTAGAAACTGCTTTCATCGCGTCGCGATGTTTCCAGAGAGAACAGCTGTGAGGTCCGTGCAGAACGCAGAGCAGTGTGTATTGATTGATTGATTGATTGAAAAGTGTATTAACAGCTTGTATATTGGGTACAGTACAGCTCAAAACATACAATTGTTAAGGGGATGCAGACCAGAGAAAGACTTTCGTCTTGTTTACATCAGGGTCCCCCATTTCCAATTCATCATGTATAATATATATCTCTCAGAATAACAGGCCTACTCTCTTTATTTGCTTTAGTTTAGTAGATAACTACAAACAAAGAGTCGATATTTTTCTAAGACCATTGCTTCACATAATAAAATACACAACGGCTTATGCTTTAGGAGCTGTAGGTGTGTGTGGTACAGTGTGTAGGTGTGTGTTGTACAGTGTGTAGGTGTGTGTGGTACAGTGTGTAGGTGTGTGTTGTACAGTGTGTAGGTGTGTGTGGTACAGTGTGTAGGTGTGTGTTGTACAGTGTGTAGGTGTGTGTGGTACAGTGTGTAGGTGTGTGTTGTACAGTGCGTAAATGCGGCGGACAGACGGGTCTCAGTTGGTTTGGTGTCCTCTGCTTACTTTTAATAGGCCTACTTGTAAATACAACTTTTGGCCCGTAATTTCAATTCCCCATTTCAGCGACCAGAGAGAGGGGGGGATATATCAGTCTCTGATTGTGTTACGTTATTATGAGAGTGCTCTCATACTTTAAATTGGATATATTTATATAAATATATTTGTGTGTGTGTGTCCGCATCTGTAGCCTGTTATTGTCTCATTATACCGCACTCTCAATGAATTCAAAGTAAATATGTGGGGGAACAATGTTCAGCTGATCTAACAGAGATACAGCGCTATGACAAAACACTCGACAGCTGATGCAGCTGTTGCCACGTAATGATGAACGGACGTCTCTTTAAAATGACCGCTCAGAGGAGAGGAGTTCTCATTTCTTTAAACGTCTGCTGCTTCCCCTCCTCTCTCCTCGGTTCCCCTCCTCGGTCCTCCGCTCGCATCTCCTGTGGGCGGGTCTAAGTCTCGAGGAGGGGAACCGAGGAGGGGAGTCGAGTAGGGGAAATTTGAGTATTGAGAAGCCTCTTATGACTGTCACTACCCGATCTGCAGCTCTGCCCGATCTGCAGTGCGCATGTGCGAGATGGTCCGCCATATTGGACAACTCCCAACGGCAACCCAAGTAGGACAACATTGACACAGTGGCTTTTGGCAAATCTCAAAAGGAAAACTCGAGAGAGATGAGTTATTGTTATTACAACGTGACTTCACTATTATTTAACAACTCTTTTTACTGGGTTCTTTTATTTGGGGTTAAGTACATTGTCAGAATAAGTGAGAAATGGATTTAACTTCTGTTAGACAGCTATCATACTGAATAGGCCTACATATTTACTGTGAATGTGTGCAAAAATGTATGGCATATGGCTGTCATTTGCAGAAGTTTTTCTCAGACGCGGAGGGATACTGACTTGTTGTGAAAAGGCACGTTCTATTTGACCGTTCTTTGATCGTGGAATCAAACACGCCTATTGACCAATCAGAGAGCTTGCTCACACCTATGTGTTATAGAATATTCATTCTAGCATTACTTCAAAACATTTTTAAAATCAAACTCATGCTCAGCCAGCCAGCTGTCTAAAGTTAGCTAGGGATTGTGGGATTTTAACATGTCACTTATGAGGCCTCTTTGAATAGCTCAAACATTTATATTTCCTTGCATTTCAGAGTCATCGTGTTTTATCAAATGCTAACCGTTTTGGATCATCTGTGCATTTTCTTAAGATTGGTTAGCTGTAACGTTAGCGGTTGTTGCTAGCTAGCTAGCTGATATTGCCCCTTGTTAATAGCTGCAAATGCGATGAAAAAACACTAAACAAACTTGACGGTTGGAATGGAGTTGGGATAAGTAGAAAGGTGGTTTTGAGAGGAGAGCAAGCTGATGTTAATGTGTGTTAGTGTTTATTGATTTATTTCAATGTTGATTTCGTAGCCAACTTGGTTTATTATAAATGTCAGCACGAAGATTGATACAGGTGGTACAGAAAAGCAGCCAGTAATTAATTATACTGGTCTTCTTGTTGACATATGTTTCATTATGCATTTGGTTAGTGTCTTTGTCTGTTCTCTACAGGTGTCTGCCACCGCAGCTGACGTTGAGACAACCCTCACTCTACCTACAGTCCTCATCTGATACTGCTTGGTATGCATTTCATTGATAGACATATTATATATCAGATTGGCCATTGTTCTTTGAGTTTACAGATGTTTACGCAAGGTGAGATGCATTCTGATGTTGCTATTAATTTAAGCTTCAGGTGGAACCGGGCAAGTCACTACTGGACGGCAATGGATGATCACCCTTGAGGGCCGTGTCATATCTGAGGGCATCACACCAACCTTTTTGACGGGACTTGCTGCTGTCTTTGCGATCTACTATGTATTCAACCTTCAGTATCAGGAAGAGGCAGCCTGTACTCTGGAATTCATTCAGAGGTAAGACTTCTTTCATTTCCTTGTAATCATTATGTTTTTTTATTTACAATTAAAATCTTTGAAACCTGAATAACCACAAATCATTACTTTTCACACTTAAAGGGATAGTTTGGATTTTTTTTAACATAAGATGGTATTAGTTACTTACCGGTATTGACAGACATTAACTCAGGCAGGCAGTCATACATTTCCCTGCCAGCTGGTCAATTGTTAGGCAAAAATGTTAACAAAAACACAAAAAAAACATGAACCATTCACACGAGAATACAACATATATTGAGTAATTCTGCTGCTTGATGCTCTTGTCCGAACTCTGTATACCTTGAAAATATTTTCTTTGTTAATTATGTGTATTACTATTCAGTGGAGCCGATTCCAATATCAAGCCGCCAATAAGCTTGAATAGAGGCGTAATATGTGAACTGGCTCCAGTGCGTAGTAATACACTGGCAATTTTCAACAAATGAAATAGTTCCAAGATATAGAAGGGTCTGATAGGAAAAATCAAGCAGCGCAATTATACTAAATACCCCATTATGTCAGTACCGGTTAATAACTCATATCACCTTATGGAATAAAACCCAAACTACCCCTTTAAGACAACAAAGTGTTCCTAATAGTTTTCCATTCAGACTCTGATCTTAATATTTTTCTGATTTCAGGCGCTTCATTGGTATCAACCCAGAGAGGAACAAAGGCCATCCGGGGCAAGGTTGTCTCCAAGAAGACGGCTGTGATCGTCCAGAAGAAGTCTGCCACAGTCAACACACACATCTCCACACCACTGAAGAACCTCCTTGACTTTGAATGGGACTTCATATAGGTCAGTGAGCTCTCTCTCGTCTCTCACTCGTCTCTCACTCTTTCTCTCTCCATGTGTTGTTTTGAAAGACTGACGTTGCCACATTATGCCACAAGACACTTTGGTATTACCAGCTTTATAAGCATTGTTATTGTACATTCCCGATTCTAGAGTTATTTTTGATTAATTATTTTGTTTGTTGCTGTTTTAAAGTGGCAAGACTGGTAAGGAGAGGAACAAGGACCAGCAAGGTGTTGGTCATCTCTACCTGAACCAGAAGATTCCTCTTTCTATCAGGACTGTCCGCACCCATCCAGAATCTTCCTGAAGTCAAGCATGCACCTACCTCACAGGACTATTTCAAGAGGCAAAACACAAGCCCCACATTTAGCTATTGCTGCAAATTTTCTAAATGTTCTTACTGATGTATATTTTTAAAATGGTGTTAATGCAAATTTTAAAAATGTTCTTACTGATGTATATTTAAAAAAATGGTCTTAATGCACATTTAAAAATGTTTTAATTCTAAATGTTGCTAATAATGCATTTGTTCAAAAATGTTCTTACTGATGTTTTTTTTTTTTACAGTAGCGATATTTATGTTGACACTGCCTTTTTAAATAAGTGTGTTTGCATTAAATCCTTTCCAAATTCTTTATTGCTTATTTTGCATAATTTTCATAATAATGCATATTATAAGCAGATGTCTGTAACCCACAGAACAATACATATTTTATGTTGATTAATTAATAATGACTTTTTAGATATTCTCAAATGCTAAATTTAGTTGTTGTATTGTCAATCAAGTAATCTACTGGCAATCCCCTAACCAGAATGTTACTGTGAATTATTACATTTTTTACAGTATTAAACTGAAATTGTTCAACAGTATGAATACTAGAATTTCAGTATATTGCTCTGCTATATTCTCTGCTGCCAGTATTTTACTGTTAATTGAAAAAAATACAGCAGTATACTGTATTTTATGTTTACAGTAAGAGGCTGTAAAGTCATTTCACGGTATGAGTACTGTGGTATTACAGTAAAGTACAGGCGTCTGTGCTGCCAGCACTTTACTGTTATTTGACAGGAAAATTGGTTACAGTGTATCACACATGTAAGGGTAAGACACAAACCTATTGAACAAATGCAATGCAATGGATAAGCTTAATTTCCGCTGAAGTCACAGATAATATATCTAATATTTAAACAAATAATTTCCTTGTCATGTTAGAAATTAAAATCAATGTTTTATGGCATAATGTACCTTAAACATACCGTCAGTTTAAATGCTATTTTATTCTGGAAAAAAACGGAAGTTCTCAATACCAAGCTTTTATTCTGAAAATCCTTCATGACGACATCCGGGAGCTGTAGTGACGAAGGGAAGTCCCCTACGTCACTACAGCTCACAGAGAGGAGGAGCGAACAGCCAGCAAGCGGGAAAGACGAAGGCTTGTGAGGTCTCTTCTTCACGGCCACCACTGGGAGAGGAAGCTGCAGCCTTTCTCTCCTGACTGAACAATATCCTGTTTGTAACATTACCGCGCTATAATTTTAATTAAAGTAACCATTTGAACCTTATCAGAGACTCCATTTAGTCTCCTTTTAAAGCTTCTCTCCTGGACGCGAGAATAACGAACACAGCATAACAGTCACTAAAGCATTGACTACACTATTCATCGTCCTTAAATGCAGGCATTAAGTTACATGTTCCGTTCTACAACCACAATAAGGCTGTTTCTCAAGTGTGATGATAATACAATGAAAAGAGGCATTGTTAATAATATTTTATTATACACACATTGTGAGGTTGATTTAATATACACTAAGCCTCTCTTCAACAATACGTTGACGTCAGCTAGTCTATTTTATGGTATAGTAGAGCATAGCGAATATAAATGAACCTTAACAATGCATACAGTAACCTAACTAGCAAACTAACTATCTAACGTACAAGGATGACCTTATTTTACCAACCTCGCACAGAATTCTTTTGGTATACAGTAGCATCCCACTTAATGTTTTACACCTCTCTATTACGTTTAACTTGGATGCTACGCATAGCATCGTTAGCACAGATGGAGCTACCGATTGCTCAAATGCTAACCCAACTCTAAACATTCATTAACGTTAGCTTAATAAAAACACCAGTAAAATAACATAAAGTGTGCGGGGTTGACTTACCGAAAGAAACTGCATTCATGGACGGTCTGTTTTAACCGCAGATAAATCCTATATTTGCATGAAGAATAGTCCACCAGGAACCAACACAACAAACACGGCCGAGTTCAAGATAGTGTTCTCCGCATGAGCTGAGCCCCTGTAGCATCACGGAGCTAATGGAGCTAACGGAGCTAGCAGTGAGACAGAGGAGCTAGGAGCAGCAGTCCCGTTGTCATGAAGGGGGAATCTAACTACACTGATAAAAACGATAAATATTACTTAGATTATGTGTTTAATTTATACAAGAAATTACTCATTTAGTGCTTTAACTCAAAATGTCTCCTTTTATTTAATGTGTTACTTGCATTTTGCATGTAATTTTGTATCGTCATTATGTTAAGTACATTTTAACCATAGAACCAAGTAAATATTACCTAAAGTATTGTGTTGATTTTAAAACGGTTAAAAGCTAATAAAGTTTACCTTGGCAGTGAAGGTGGGTGACGCCCTATGACGTCAGAGTAGTTGCACACAGTATGAGATTCAGGAGAAGAGGAACATTTACGAGTGGAAGATGGCATGGATGGATCCTCCGGTAATGTGTTGAATTATCGTGGATTTGGAGTCATGTGAGTATATTTATGCACTTCGTTAACTGGTTACATTCATGTTATCTTGTCAGCTGAATGCTATATTAAAAACGTACGTTAAGCGAACAGTTCGCTTAGCCGGTTAGCTCGTTAGCATGCTAGCTAACTCAGCACGTGGGATAAATCAGGTCACGGTATATGGGTTCGTTTTTAGTGGGTTATTCAGAGATTCAAACTCGTCGACTAGGGACATTTTGGGTTTTTTATTGGGGGGAGGCGGTGTTCGCGCTATATTATGATACTAAAATACTGTGTCAGCTAATATATAGCTTTAGTTTGTGTGTGCCACGCTGCCTCGTGCAGCCAGTATTTAATACTAACAGTGACCTGACGTGATATGACCAAAACCACATAGCTAATGTGTAATGTTCTATCCACATAACGAATAACATATCACAATTTAGTAGGGATGGGTATTAAACGGGGCTGAATTATTAAAGACCACAGACATGTACACAATGTCATATGCATTATTGCTACACAAACATTATATTGCAGTTTTAGTGTCGCTAACTCCATGCGTGCGAGGGGGCGGGGCGGTTTATACACACGTGGCTGCCGGAGATGGCGGAGAGAACGCGCTCAGAGGTGTGGTTCAACTTTACCCGTCTAGATGTGGACAATGCTCGTTATCAAAAGTGCAATAAGAGTTTAGCATGTAAGGGCGGTAACACAAGCAGTTTGTCTAAACATTATGCAAAAGTGCACCACGTTCAGACGGAGGAATGCACCGGGTTCGACTGTCTTTCTAGTAGCGCTGTAGCCCCATCCACGAGTAACGTTTCCTCGTCAGGTGTTATGTATGCTAGCAGCAACACACGGAGTTAACTCAATGATTCAGACATGGGTTAATGATTAGAGGTAACGGAGTTATTTATTTTGTTAAAGTTTCAGCTATTCTGTTAACAATTCTGTCATCAGATTATTTAATACCATTTGTTAAAACATTGTTGTTTCTTTTGATGTGAAATATTATGTATTTAATTTAAATAAAAAGCAATGTTAGTTTTGGTCACAATTTGTTTAGTTAGTTTACCTTAATTTTTTCTCCAACCTTAACGATACCCATCCCTACAATTTAGCATATCTTATGTAAAATCAACCCACTGGTTATGGCTTATTGGCCATGAATGCCGCAGTTTAACTCCTAAAACTAGAGGCTTGCATGCCAGCTAATGTCAGAGTTGTTGAAACTAGATGTGATTGTATTATGTAAGCTTATCTTTTGTATTTGTTCCTCTCCCTTTTCTTTTTTTAGACATTTCTTTTCTCCAGCAGTGAGTGTCTGCAGTCAAAGTACACCGGGAATGAAAGACATCTGACTATGCAGGTACGTTTACAACATATTAGTATGGTGTGTAGCTGGGTGATTACAAATGTTTTCAAAATAAACATTAGCAATATTGCAACATTTCAGTCATATTGAAGTCAAGAGGCCCAAATGAGTCCATAGTATGGTGGCTGAGAAGGGCAAACTAGAGAATAAAACCGGAAAGGGAATGTTCATCATACACGCAGCGTCAGAAAATAAAACCCTATCTCTTTTCCTCCATGCCCAAATCTAAAAAACGGGGCTGCAACGGATTTGATACATTTGATGTTAACATGATGCTTGTTCCCCGCCCCCCTCCTTTGCAGGGGGGCGTGGTCAGCTGCAGCTCATGCAAAAACAGGGCTGCAAAATGAGCCATGGCTAAAATGCATAATCTGTTTGGTATTTTGAAAAATAAAACTTATAAATATACCTTATATAGGTATGGCCCTACAATATATTATTCAAATATAGCATGATAGGTAGGGATGCACGATATTGGTTTTTTGAAACCGATACCGATAACTTCCTGCTTCTCAAGACCGATACCGATAACCGATAATAATATAATATATATACATATATTAAATGTAGCTGTAGTTTTTGCACACCTGGTGGTAAAAAAAAGACTAGTAGTGAGCAAATGACATGAGCATTACTACTATGAACAAAACAAAGCCAAGAACAGTTTTGACTCTTCAAAGTGACCATATTTATTTGTATTCAAAAGCCTCTCGGATCATATCGGCTGTGTGTGAACCTGGTAGCTCCTGAGAATGCAACACCGCTCTGTACAGTTTGTAGTCTTTGTCCAGTCACTGCGCCGTCAGACCTAGCAGGCTAACATCACTGGTCCATATGTCCGGTGAAAAATCAGAGTATGAAGGAGTGTGGCGATCTCATTATACTTGGCTGCTAAACACTCGTCTGAAAAGTGGCGGCACAAATCCAGCGCTCCCTAACTCATGCCTGGCTGTGACGTAAATGGTGTGCGGCCGTGAAGCCAGGCATGAGTTAGGGAGCGCTGGATTTGTGAAAAACTCCCCTCTTCCTAAACCACTAATACCACAGTACTGGCAAAACGGGAGGAGCCGAGTGAAAAACAAGCGCCCCTCATCCCAATCCACCCACACCGCCTTATTTTTTTTACCCAAAAGATATATTGTATATTATCGGGGCTATTAATACTTTTATCGGGTTTATCGGGATGACGTCATAATTCCTAATATCGGACCGATAATTATCGTGCACCACTAATGATAGGTCCACTTTAAGTTAACACCCTTGTGTTATGTTGAGCCAAATCACCAAATTCATGTCTCTGACTGAATGGAAATGACAATAAATAAATTGTTCTAGTTTGTAAAAGTGTTTAAATAAATGTTAAAGTGTTTCGGGACTTGTTAATTTTTTATTGTTAAAGGTAGGGTATGTAAATTTGAGAAACCAGCTCGAGTGCGCTAGGATTTGAAAATACACAGCAGGAAAAAATCTGCCACTTCCTTACAGAGCCCCTCCTCCAACACACACAAACGCGCACATGACCAATGAGGGCACGCGATCAGTTTGTGCCCAGATGGAAGGCTGACAGGCAGGTAGGCCATCCAGTTATTTTACCCGGGCCGGCTAAAATAACTGGTCGTGCTTTTTACAGTACTACGGCTTCCACAGATGACGTTTTTTATGGATTTTTTTTTTGTCAAAGCACTTCAGATATTCATTGCTATCGGGATGTTAAGAGCATTCCATGGAATATAACAAAAAGTGTATCTCAAGCCGGTTTCTCAAACTTACATACCCTACCTTTAATGTTAAATTATTATGTCCTTGGTAAAAGTGTTTTGTTTTATAGCATTTTAATGTCTCAAGCTTTGTTAAAGTGTTTCACACTTTTTAATTGTCGTTTGCCCTTCCCAGCCACCGTACATTAGTCAATACCATTAAAACCAATGTAAAGTTATGAAGGAAAAAAACATCCATTTAAATTACATTTTGTACCTTCTATATTCCACAGGCTACTAAAGGAAATTAACCTTTCAGCAAATTCTCTCGACAACGAAAGAGTAAGTCTATCAAGTTATTATTTGTATATGTTTAAGTTGACATAGAAATGTTTATGTAACATGGTTTGGATTTGAAAAGGTTAACATTTGTTTACGTTTTTTTTTTTCAGTTTCCACAAGATGAGATGGGTCTGTAAAACCTGTGACTTTCAATCAAATAAAAGGATATGGTTGTTAAAGCACTATAGGCTAAAACATGGACATTTTTCCCGGAACCAGTCAATCCCTTGTCTTTACAATGATTGCCCATGTTCATTTAGAACAGGGGTGGCCAACCAGTCAGAGGTTAAGAGCCACATTTTTTCTATGTTACTGCAAAGAGCCACATCAAACACATAGTCACTGATACCGCTTGTTTCCGTTTTTTTGTTTTCTGGAGACAAGATTTCAACCACGTCACTGATGCATCTTTGTGGCATTGGGATATATTTTTTTTAAATCCTCTGGAGCAGAGAGAGGAGCTGTGGATTATTGTTATTGATTAATGCATCAGTGTTTCTTAGGGTCAAAAACACTAAACTCACAACTTAAAATGAAAGCGTTTAGTTTATTTAATAAAAGAGCACATGTTCAATGTGAAAAGTGACAGTAGTTATAGATTATTTGCAATTTGGTGCTATATATATATATATTTAAAAAAAAAATTATATATATTTTTTAAACACCTTGAATTTCAGGGGGGGGGCGCGTGGCTCCGTTGGCGGGGCGCAGCGCCCCTCCAAAACAATGGTAGGGGAAACACTGGATATTGTTTAATCAACGATAGGTTCCCCCCCCCTCAAAGGTGATTGGTTCATTGCATCACAGGTATTATTTTGATTGGCTCTTGGGCCACATCAAAATTAGACGCGCTGTCATCCTCTCATACTGACACCTGACACCACACATACACACCGGGAGCCGGGACGAAAGTAACACGCGACGAAAGTAACACGGGACGAAAGTAACGGAGCGATTTTATCCGAGCCCAAACAACTTTGACCGGCCAAATTATGTTAATACTTAACAGACCTACTAAATATCAGGTTTAACTGTCAGGAGTAGCTAGTGTTGTCACGATACCAACATTTTGGTTTCGATACCAAGTCAAGAATTGCGATTCTGATTCTTTTTTGATACTTTTCTTAAAAAAGGGAAACAGTCTTAAATGTAATTATTGTGGTTTATTTCACACCAGAACCATAACACAAACTTTTAAACAATGATAACAATAAATAAAATAAATGACAAGATTTCCTATTAAATAAAATTAATTAATGAATACATTTCTCACAGACAGGCCTCGTGGTGTCCGTAGGCTTGCCCTCACTGTCAGAGATATAGCTCAAATACTTCCAAATTTCAACAAGCCGAGGCGCAGCGGCAGTTGCACTCCCACTTGCAGCCATGCTTCTCGTTTTCTCACATGCTCTGGCAGCTAGCGCGTGCACGAGAGAGGGGAGGCACTTGAGCGTGCTTGAGAGGGGAGGGACTGCAGGCACGGCTGCAGTGCAGGGAGTGGAAGCAGAGCGCTGAACACACACGGCTCTTATTAAAACGGCGCTTTCTCACCGGAGTACTTTCCCCGTCATTCTTAAAGTACCGATACTAATTAAACGGAGGAATCGTAACGTTTTTAACGGCAGGGTATCGCGGTACCTTTCAAGTATCGGTACACCGTGCAACACTAGTCAGGAGTCAGCGTCTCTCCTCCAAACTCACACATATACAATTCGATATGAACTGAAGAGCCGCATGAAACTAGGCAAAGAGCCGCGGGTTGGCCACCCCTGATTTAGAACATATAATGCCCTTTATGCACATTTTTCCCGACAGCACACAGAGTCAGCAACAGCAAGGGAAGTTCTTTCATTTAGTTGTCTACTATGCAGTTCTAGTTTGTTTCATTCAGAGAGACAATACATTGATCATCTTGGCAGACATTTGAGGAGATATGAAGTGGTCGCATGTGTGTTCAAAAACTGCAGCTTCAAAACCAATATATATTCAACCTTTACTTCTCATAGACGGAGGAAACATTCTGCACATGGCCCGGAAGACTTTAAAACTGAAGTCTTAAAAAAATACCCTGATCCCACTGTTGCTCAGAATGAGTCATTGAGTCAGGTTATGGAAGATGAGGAGGATCCTGAGCCCTCAATTGATGAACGAGAAAATTTATCTCGGTTCATAAAAGAGAAGTTTGGCCAACTCTTCCTAAAACTAGAGAGCACTTTCAATGTGCCAAACAAGTGTATTGATGAAATAGTAGATGAGCTTCAGTTCATTTCCTGCACTGCCTCCGGTCCAGTTTTAAGAGATGTGGTTGAGTCAACTTTAAAGAGTCATAACTGTGATTTGGATGCAGCTGTAATCTCAGATTTAGTGAAAAATCTCTGCGAGGCACACCCTGTAAGTTCATCTTTGGGAACAGATGGACCTTTTACTACTTCGTACAAGAAACGTCAATTCATGAAGAAACATTTTTCAGTTGTTGAGCCAAAATAGTACATGATAACAAAGAAGGAAAAACATTCCAGTATGTACCGATATTGCAAACCCCAGCAAAGCTCCGGATAATTTTCGAAGACAATGATATTCGCAAACTGGTTCTACCCACAGGCATCCTCGGAACACTCCAGGAACTTATGTGTCAAATTAAGTAGACATTTCATATTCCAGGGGAGTTTTCCTTGATGTACCAAGACATGGAATTTGGTGGGCAGTTCATCAATTTGAGCTGCATTGAGGAAGTAGAGGATAAGGGAACTTTGAAGGTTGTACAAACCCAACCAATTGTACTAAATCTTAGTAATGTGGAAGTGTTCAACGTTGACTCCTCCCTAGCAGAAGAATCTTCCCATCATTCTTCTGTCCACCCATCTGGATCTCAGGACACCATCCTTCTTTCCTCCTCTGATCAAAGTGGAACACTTTGCCGGTCTCAGGTGTGGCCTGCATGGTTTGAAATCCCTGCCTTTTCATATGACGTAGACCTTATGCTGCAAGCAGGCAACCAGGCCTACCAAAAGGATGGCACCCTTGTGAACAATCCCAGGCTGACAAGTAGCATACTTGAAAAATTAGCAGAGACGATGTTTCGCCATACCGCATACCCTGACGGTGTCCAAGTGTTAGCTGTGGCAGAAGCCTTGTTAGAGAAGTACCCATGCCTCAAAGAACCCGGGTATTTTAATGGCATATACGGTTGGCAACAAAGGATCAAATATAAAATGGCCAATTACCGGGCAAAATTGAGATGTCGACAACTTGCCTGTCCAGAGCTGGAGGTGAACTCTCAAAGAAGGCAGAAGTCCAATGAAAAGGGTCCCAAAGGCATCAAAAGGCCTAAAAAGGCAGAAGTAAATTACCTGCCACTGCTGCCATTTGGGGAGACAAAGGACACTTTAGAGAAGGAGAGAGTAGAATTATTGACGGAAGTAAAGAAAAAAAACAATGAGAAGATTGTTGCTGAGAAGATGGACAAGACTTTCTCATATCGAAGACTTCAAGTTGTTGAGGATTGCCCTGCAGTCCAAGACTTCATAGAGAGTTGGCCTGCACTCTTCTCGGAACATCAGGTAAATCTAGCTTTCATGTGTTTTTCTACCTGGTGCTGTGATTGATGTTTGTGTATATTAGGGATGCACCGAATATTCGGCCACCGAAAATTATCGGCCGAAAATGGTTAAAAAGGCCCTTTCGGCTTTCGGCCGAAAGGGTTTTAGCACCGAAAAAATATCACCGAATGTCAGAACAGGTTTACGTTGGTAACCTAACGTGTTGTTGTGATGACGTAATAAAGACGCGGCGACCATGCTCGCGGCTGGCTCACAGGGGGGGGAACATTGACCTTTGTCATCGAGATTGCCCTGAGCCTTTAACAAATCGTATTAAATAATCTGATGACAGACTGTAAACAGAATAGCGGAAATTTTAACAAACTAAATAACTCAGTTACCTCTAATCATTAACCCATGTTTGTATAATGTAGTTAACTCCGTGTGTTGCTGCTAGCATACATAACACCTGACGTGGAAACGTTACTCGTGATGGAGCTACAGAGCTGCTAGAAAGACGGTCGAACCCGGTGCATTCCTCCGTCTGCATGCGGTGCACTTTTGCTAAATGTTTAGACAAATTGCTCGTGCTTACATGCTAAACTCTTATTGCACTTATGGTAACAAGTATTCTCCACATCGAGACAGGTAAAGTTTAACCACACCTCGAAGCGCGTTCTCTCCGCCATCTCCGCAGTGTGCTCCGCTGCATGTAGCAACTGCGTGTATGTAAACTGCCCCGCCCCCTCGCACACAGACGGGGGAGAGAGATCTCGTCTGATTGAAAATACATCATAGACGCATTTGTTGTCTTTGCATATTAGAAACGAGTTGGCGACACTAAGAATGCGATATAATGTTTTTTAGCAATAATACATGACATATATAAATGTACTGTATGCATTCAAAAGTGCTGAATAAATGTTTTATGGACCCATAATAGTGATTATTATTTAAGTTAAGTTTTGCCATAATCATGTCTATTTCCATAATCAGGTAGCTGAACAACATTGGTAAAAAATGTATACATTATATATATATATTTCTATTAATCATTTTCGGCATTCGGTTTTCGGCCAACTGTTTCCTATTTTCGGTATCGGTTTCGGCCAAGAATTTCCCATTCGGTGCACCCCTAGTGTATATGTTGCATGTATTAACAAGTTACACTGACTTCCCATGTTATTACATTCACCTTGCTAATTCATTCTCACAATAGGAAAGATAGGAAATCATATTTGTTGTATTACATTAATGACATCGTTTTTTTTTGTATCACATTTTGTTTAAGATCAAAGAGGAGTTCAGAAGGATAACAACTCTTCATCTGAAGGGAACGTTTTTAACGAAACTGGACTTCTACACTCCCAAACTGCTGAAGATATTTGGGAAGAAAGGCGGGGTTGCAGGCTCCACAATAAAACTGATGCTGGATTCATTCAGTGAGGTAAGCTTTGAAATTCATACAACGACATTACTTTTACTGACGAAAAATAATAATTCTATGTGCTGGCCTTTACAGATACATTTTCAGCATCTTTAAGTAATTACGTGTTTTCTCACCTCTCCCCCTGATTAAACTGCCTGTTTTTTTAGACTAAAATGTAAACGTGAAGCATTCTCTTAAAATGTGATTGCTGTATTTTTTATATACATGAATACGTTTACAATTATGTAGTATTCTTTATTCTAATTTACATTTATGTTTAAACAGCAAAATGTTGAAGGTAGACGAGATACCATCATCCGCTGCCTGATGGAGTTCCTTGGAGAGAGTACAGAGGAAGTCATCAAAGACTACCAGGTAAATGTTATGATGATTGTTGAATTCATGTGTAATATGTTGTCTGTTCTTCAATATTTGTAAATAAGTATCTCTATAGTTGAGCAACTTGTGCCATCATTTGGAGAAAAAAATCTTCAGATTAGCTAATTTAGCATTAAATACATTTAACATAAGTTATATATTTTTACTGCATTTGATTTATTATTTATAGATTTTCTTTTATTTCTCCATTTCATTTTCTGATTGAAAATGTGTTAGAATTGATGGTTGAGACGTTAAAACGCAAATTCCCCCCTCATTTCTGCAATATACTTAATGCAGTTTACATATTGTTATTTACTTCTTGGTTGGAACAAAGCATATATTTATTTAAATGAGCTGCATTCAGACCCATATCGTTACTGGACCAAAAAAAAACGTGTTAATATAAATTCCTTCATTACCTTACCCCATCCTTATTTGAGTTAAAGGAGACTAGATAATCTACTTAAATACTGAATTAAATGCCCACTAATGTAATGAGTCTCCTCTACAGTAACTTCAAAGAAAAGTTATAATGTATGTTAACTAATTTGCATGTTTTGACAGGATGTAAGCAAGGACATCGTCAAAGATGACTATGCTGGCGAGCTCATGAAGATCTTTGTCGTCCGCAACAGTGCAGCGCAGGGAGACGCAAATGCTGGTCATGTGTCGATCGTCATAGAGGAAACTGAGGTGCAGGATGGGTGCAAAAGTGTGTCAAACGCATGCATATTGCTCATGGGCATAATCTATGCCATGAACTTGGTTTACCCACCAAAGGTAAAATACACGTTTGAAGTGTTCCAGAAGCTCTTTCTCGAGCTGAATTCGCAAAAGGTGTCTCCTAAAGTCCAGACCTTGCGCTTCAAACTTTTAGCCTAGAAAGTGGAATGTAATAAGTACATTTAGTTAATTGCAAACTGTTGGAACTTTCCTCTTTTTTTTTGCATAGCACTGTGTACTTCTACTGTAACTCCATTTAAAAATGGAAATATTGTTATTTTAACTTCAGTTCTTGAAGTTAGTTCATATTCCAAAGTGTTGGATTAACTCATTCAAAAATCATAAAAAATACTATTTTTACGGTTTATTTTTTTCTTAGTTTTGTCCTCTAGTCTGATTGTTGTTGTTTTTTGTAATTTGTGTTGTGATTGTACATTCTATTTTTCTAAATGTGTAAATAAAAACATTTTATTTAAATGTATTCACGATTTTGTACTTTTACATTTTTATATATTTAGTTAAGTGTTGTAAGCTGTTGCCTAAAACATAACAAAATAAAGTTGTTTTTGTTTAAAAGGGTTTTTCATGTTTTGTAGTAGCCTTAATATAAGAATGTATAAAAATAAGCAACTAATGGAAATAGAGCTGATGTTTAATGTAGAAGAAATGACATGTAAATATTTCTTAAATATGTTTGCAATGCAAGTAAAAACTACCTGAAAAGCTAAATAGTTTTTACTGGAGATTTGTAATAAGATCCAAATGGAATCTTAAGTAAAAAGTACTATGTAATGGTAAGTTAAATCTACTATGCAGTAGTAAGTCAAATGAATAAAATGTACAATGCAATAGTAAGTAACATCTACTATGTAATGGTAAGTAAAATGAATAAAATGTACAATGCAATAGTAAGTAACATCTATGTAATGGTAAGTAAAATGAATAAAATGTACAATGCAATAGTAAGTAACATCTACTATGTAATGGTAAGTAAAATGAATACAATTTACAATGCAATACTAAGTAAAATCTACTATGCAATAATAATTAAAATCTACTTACAAAAACGGAGTGTGACAGTAAAGTTTACTCAAGTGCCTTTAATAACAAACACTTCTTAAATGTAAGTAGATTTTACTTGAAATATAAGTTGTTAAATTTACTTAGGTTTTCTGTGTGCGTTTTCTTACCTCGATTTTCCTAAGTAAATCTTACTCCCCGTTTGTATCAGTGTATATACAGAATATGTTTTTTTGGATCCAGGCTAGAAACATGTTCATTTTCTGATGTTAAGTTGGACATTTTAACATAGGGTCTACGGGAATTGCTCCCATCTGCATCCATCGCCTACAGTTTGCAGCATTGGGCTTCACCGCACTGCCAAGGAGTTTACCGCTTGGCTCTGATAGGCTAGAAGTCAGTTTGATTGCATAGAGAGGTGAGGTCCCGTCCATTTACTTCCGACCCATGGGACCTTATTTCTGGAAAATTATGTATTGAAGTCAATGGGGAGAGAAAGATTATCTTTCGATTCCGTTTGAATTGTGCCACGAATTACACATATGATGTTTGTCAATCTTAAAATTAAATTTCCATGTAAAAAAAAGTCACAGTTTGTCGTAAAACTGTTGAAATATCAGACTAGAAAGAGAATCCCAGAATACCGGTCCCGCATGCTGGCTCTTACGGAACCGACGAACCAGAGATGTAGTTCATTGAGCGGTTTCACACAAAAAAAGTGTTGCTTCACAGTTTCACGACACAAATTGACAAACATCATAACTGCTCTATCGAAATCAGTCGCATCGACCCAAAGAAACATTTTGAGTTGTATACACTGCTGGAAAGGGGAGATTCCTAGCTTTCTAATGATATCAGGATTGTTGTTGTACTCCAAATATTAATCGAAATATGTCACATTATATAATGACTGTCATCGAATCATCATTTTGAGAAAAAGGCCTTCAAAGTTTTCTCTTCTCTGGAATCCATCAATCTGATTGATTATTAGCGGAGCAAATTATCAAAATACTACGGAAGGAAGATATTTTCGTTTGGATTACTGGTCTGGGGGAAGCTTGCGTGTGTGTGTGTATACTTGAGTGTGTGTGTTTGTGTAATTTTGCGTTTGTGTGTATTGTGTTTGTTTCCCGGGGAAAACCCTCACGAGAAACACCGGCTGTTATGCCTGCTGTGACGTTAAGTTACTCCGTTCTCCGCTTGTAATTATGCCGTCACAAGCTTCAAAGCTGTATTTATCATTTGAATTTGCCGAAACAAGTTTAATATTCTGAAAGCCAAGACTTTGTTTAATTGAAATCAGATGAAAACAAACTGTAACGGACTCTGCCGTGTTATTTATGATTACTATACGCGTACATTCATAATGTCAGCCGGAGTGCACTGTGCACTGCGGAACAGCAGAGTGGCGAGGGAGAGCTGTCATCTTCCCTTTACAAGCTTCAAAAATGTATTTATCATGTGATTTTGGAAATAAAAGTTTCATATTCTGAAAGCCAAGACTTTGTTTATTTAAAATCAAACAAAAACACCCGAACCCCGAAAAAATAGTTTTTTACGCAAATCCACGTTTATTTTGAAATGAGCCGTTGCGACTTCCGACTGATTTCGATAGAGCGGGTCACCGTTATTCGTGGCACAATTCAAACAGGATCGAAAGATAATCTTTCTCTCCCCATTGACTTCAATACATGCTTTTTCCGAAATAAGGTCCCATGGAGGTCCCCCGGAAAGGGAGGGACTTCGCCTCTCTATTCGGGCTCGATTGCTTATCCTGTCTGGGTAGGCCGGATGATGCTGCATCGACATTTTTGACTTCGAATTTTAAACACCGAAAATGTCCATTCGATTTTTTTTAACAGAATTGTTACATTTTTATTTCACATGTGTAAATTCGGAGCAAAACAATTCAGATACATGATTTTCAAAGTAATTATTTTCAATGCTATTAATTTGGTGTCTGATAACATTCAAATACTTCTGTCTCTTGTTTGCTTCCATACACACGGAGCGAAAGAGAGAGGGTTTTATTTTCTGACACTTCGTGAGTTCCCTGACACACCGGGGACACATATTTATGTATAAAAGACATCAAAAAGTGCATTTGGCATTACAGGTCCCCTTTAAAGCATTGAAACATGCCACATTAGAGGCCCAACATACCAAAATAACCTAAAAATGGTGTCCACTCTAAGTGGGAGATATAGGCTACATGGCATTAAGTTACTTACGGAGGTAAAGTAACATATTAGGCCGAGGATATGATTGCTGTATTCTAAAACATTTTGTGAAATGTGTGTAAAAGCAATGAAGAAAATGCTTTTTTTCAAAATGGCAGTGCTTGACACAAAATGTTCCTTTTGACACCTTCGTAGTGGAATGAGATCTAAACAAGTCATCATCACATTTCTGTTTTTGTGAAATTAGAATTCCCTGACATCCGTATATCGGCTCGCTCAACCTGGCTCTATTTTTGCACAAGTTTCTTGTACTTGCTCCACCTGAAAACCATTTTCATTGGTCAAACTCATTGCTGACAACCTTGACGTTTTTGGAAACTATGAAAGAGGAACCTTGTTATATCTCTCACAGGCTCCGCCCTCTACTGGACTCTATGGGTACTACCTTATCATGCAAGCATTCACCTACTGAGATTTCTATAGACGTAGCCGGCCCCGGGGCGGGCCTACCTGAATGCGTGCGCATCTCACTTCCGTATAAAAGGAGGCCTCGCCTCCTGACCACCATCCTTTACTCTTCAGCGAGCGGAGGTGATAGCCTTGCACTGAGTCCGAGACGTATTTTTTGAGAGAAAGGAAGAAAGAGAAAGAAAGATAGCGGGCGCCGATCCCCACCACCTCTGCTTCGAGTGTTTGGGGGACCAGGATATGGCCGAGGCGGTGCCATTTCACGTTCGCCATTCCTTCCGAGTCCGGCATCCATGGAAGTCCACCGCCCAGGGCTGTACTCTCCCTGGATGATGATCATGGCGGCGGGTGTGTGGGCTACTCGCTCATTGCTAGAGATGCCCCCGCCTCACCAGGTCAGAGCGATTATTGGGCTGCAAGGCCGAATAAGTAGCTTGGTCCACGAGCCTTGCCCCAGGCCACCGCCGCTGCCTGCCTTGTGATGTCCCTGGGATATCACGTCGCATGGCATTTTTCCAAAGAGGACCGTGTTGATCTCCTGGGAGCCCCCGTCTTTACGGAAGGGCTCTATGGATCGATCTCCTTGCTCACGGGATAAGGAGTAATCGCAGCGTGGCTGATTCTTGCCCATCCCCAGCGGAAGAAACACTGTCCTACACTCCCCGCCCCCGCTGTAAATCCCAGTATAGGGAGCCAGCCAAGCGGCAAACTCTGGGGAACAGCCGGGAAGCCAATACGGAAGTGCCACACACTGCAGTTCATACATGGGCCGCTAGGGACTGGCTGCAGAAAGAAGCAATTTCCATAGACCCCCATGTTAAAATGCCCAACTTTACAGCAGAAAAAAACATGTTTCTACCCATGGATGCAATAAATATTATTATCGATATAGTTAGATTCCACCTTCATGATTATGAATCTGTGAGTGAATTGTTTTCTAACACGACCCTTTTATTTATATTAGGTCTTGAAGTTTTTGCATAAATTAGGGCGTGGTCACGTTGATGGACACATACATGCCTCACTGTCAGCTAACAGCAACTTGTCCACTCTGCTAGGCTACAACCATAGAGGCTACAACGTTAGTTAGTCATAGTACTGTACTTGACCCTTTAGCTTTAGCCGTGTTCGTGGTGATTGTGCCTTTTAGGGAATATTGTTACAAATACCAGACAATTAAAATGTCTTGCTGTGCGCTCAAATGTACTAACAGAACTTCCAAGAAGTCTAAAATGATAATATTATACATGTTAACCCCGTTCGCAGGTGTTTGTGTGCTTAGTAGCTTAGCTTGTTTAGCTTATTAGCCAGCTAAGGACGTAACCCTTTATGCATACATTGTGGTGACACGTTATTGGACATAATTCACCTCTCGTATTGTGTTGCCACACGGACCCTTTAGTGGGAACACCGGTAGCGTTAGCTTCCATTCCTGCTAGCTCGTCAAGCAGAGCAGTTGATGTGATAACCTCTCTGTTATTAATGGCTAAT